GCGCGTTTCGTGATTGTTGCTTGTCTCACCTCAAAGGCTGTTTCAATACGTTTGATATATTGGTCGACTTTTTCGATATTGACACCTACTGTATGTGTTTATGGTATAATCTCTGTTGCTATCTTTAAAAATCTATTCAGAATGAATCTACAATAATATTTAGGGTCAAAGTATTTCATGATCGACGTATTTTATAAGAATTTCTGTAATAATGAAATTTTTGTTTAAAAGAATGCTTCAAATGAATTTGTATTACAATAAGGTATATAGGAGAAGTTTTATAGTTCACTGATGGATATTTCTAGGGGAAAAAAGTAATATAAGTCATATTGCTTTCAATCTAACTGCAAATCTGTATATTAGCCAAGATATTGGAATTTGCATTTTATGCCATGTATTGATATAAAATTTTTATTATTTTAAAAGGTATTTCTGCGTTCCGTATTAATAAGAAAATTTACAATAATGTATATTACTACACAAATATCAAAATTCTACTGGTGTGCGTTAACAAAATGCCAATGGTGTTCTATTGTCCGTTTCCATTTTTGGTACTGACCACTTAATTATGCGACGTCCATCACACTTGTTTGATACGTAATTAATACAAGCACAGATTGATTGTGTAGCACTAGTTGTTCTATAAATATTTTAATGGAATTTATAGGAGACTCTCTATCTTTATCGATAACCATCTTCACATGTTTCGCGATAAGAATACGCGCGTACATGTTCGGATCTCCAGTACATTTTTCTTCAGTTAATGTTTCGTGAATTTCGCAGCCTGCCAGGCGATAAGAACCTTCGAAGGCGCGTCGTTATTTATAGCGACAAGCAACATTGAATGCAGATGCGCGGCGCAACTGGTATCTCCTGCGTGTCAGACAAGAGGCGAGGAGGGGTGTCTCTAATAATAGCTGCGCAATCTTCCTCGCCATCTCTCCCCCGCCCGGTTCTCTTGTGTTTGTTCGCCGTTGTAGGCCGTTGTTTATCCTGTATCAGCGCCGCGTCGCGCCGTAATAAATAACCGGGCGCCGCCGAGGCCTTGCGCCGCCGTGCGCGGCCGCAGCGCGAAGTCGCAAATGGCCGGCGCGCGGACGCCTCTTTGAGGCCGGCGCGCGCCGCCGCCTTGTAATTGGGCCGCGAGCGACGCGACGCCCGGCGACGCCAAGCCACGCCAAGCGACGGCGCGCGCAAGGAGGTGCGCCGGGCGGTGTTATCTGGAAGCAGGACTGCCTCGTAGCTACGCGCGTGCGCGACCGAGCGTTGAATGCCGGAGCACACGCAGCCTTCGGTGGCGTGCAGCTTTTCACACATTCCTCCTTTTGTATTGGCTTTTTGCTTTAGTGTACTACCCGAGGAAAGTACAACTGGCATGCGATGGTGCTGGGAGAAGCGGTACTACTTTACTGTTCGGGTGCAAGACACGTTCGCACGACACACATTTTTAAATATGGATGCTACGTTCCATTTGCTCCTCGCGAGCCTACATTTTTTAATGAATTATCATGTAACGCGTAAATGTCGCTGGCCAATTGATTGGACCCAGAAGCAATGTGTCGAGTGCTTAAACTGAAATCGGGCAGGTTCGTCGGTGGGTCGTGGAATGTTGATGGCAGGATAGGTCCTTTTGCCGCCTGCGCCCAGCTGTTAACGACGCGCGGGCGGGCAGGAATTTGCATTTCGGCCAGCGGGTGCGTGGGCCGCGCCCACTGCGGCGCCGGCGGCGGTGGCCGGGCCGGTCTGCTCGTCGCGCCTCCATAAATTCGCGTTCGCCAGTCCAGCGCCTGCCGGCGCGGCGGTCGGCCTCCTTTGTCTGCATGCCGCCGCCGCCTCCTGAGCGGGCTTGCTCGGTCGCCGAGTCAAGGCCGCGACCGGGCGCAGTCGCCGTGCGCGGCGGCCCCCGCGCCGCGCCGCGCCCAGCCGGTCGCGCATCCCGGGCGGGCGCGGCCACGCCCCTCCCCGCCACTCCGCTCCCATCCGTTGCCGGCGCTTCGCTCTATCTGACCGCGCGCTGACTTGTTATCATCATCAACGCCGCAATCAGACGCTTTTCTTTCAGCCGTCTGACGCCATTTAAAAATTACGCATCTCCATCCATCGCCATCGCACGTTTTGTATTTAATCTCGACTACTTTTCCATCCGTTGCCATTAGCTACAGACGATTCGCGGCTTGCCCAATTTTTTTCACACTGAATCACGAAACACTCACCTCGACGCAGCTCGTGGCAATCTTTCATTCACTATTCCTCGCACCACCTCGCCGTTTTACCACTTATTAGTTTTTTGGCTTCAGTAGTAAATCTAAGAGATTGCTCCTGTCGATCATTAATTATTTCGGTATTATTCCCCCTTTAAAATTAAATAATTAAATTAAAAAATTTTGGTTTGTGTGTTGAACATTAACTCAGCACTTTTCAAAAGTAAAGTATTTTGCACAAAATAATTTTCAACTATGTATAAAAGGCAACAATCTTATATTCATAGAATTTTTCCGTAAATTTTTCAATAAATAAAATGCCAAACTACAATTTTTGTGTCACCCTCAGTGATGATTCAATGGGTTGATGTCTCTACGAGCGTCGCTGTTGTGGTCCGTTTTGTATACTCTTCGAAGGCATGCATCACGGAAGGTGGAGGTGTTCTTCCCTCCGCTGGAGATTCGGCGCTGTCCTCTACGTCGGGTTGCGGGTTTCATCGTCAAGTATACTCAACTAGCGGGGTGCATCGCCCCGCCGAGACGCGCTCAAAGCTCTCACTGGTTTCCTATATGTGTCGTGCATGTAAGTATGGTGTAATAAAGGAATGTGGCCGGACAAGGGAAAGGAAGGAAAGATCAGCGCAGACCGTGGCCTTTTGTAGGGCAATTTTCGCCAGCATTCACCTGATGTTGATCATGTTTTGATCGGAGAATCAATTGGAACTATCGGAAAAACCGTCTTTCAGAGCAGCTGGTTCTGAATACTCCTCCATTCAGCGGCTGAATGCGACATAGTTATAACTAGTACGAAAAGTCCGCCACCGTTCGGTCTTCGAATCGGTTGGTCTCCCCGATCGAGGCTCCTGCAATGTCATAGTTTGATGCATGTGGGTCATGGCGGGGGATTAATTACAGACGTGAAAGGCTTTGTAAATATTTAGTATTTATTAGAAATAAAATTACTCCGAACATAATACTATATACCATATTTACAAATAAATGACGCGTTCAAGAAGGAACTTCCCTGGTTTATCACCACCGCTGGCTGCGATAATTATTACCATGTCCGTGTGGATGCCCAGTAGCCTTACGCGAGCATACAGCGAGTATGCCGCACCTAACGGTCACGACGTAGCAGCCGGCTTCGGTTCCCCCGCTCGTCGCCTATTGCATTACAATGCAAGCGCCGCGCACAACCCACACGAAACGCTTACCGACGCGCCCAAGAATCAGATGAAAACAGAAGCTCGAGCTAGGTCGGGATCAGCTTATATACTTCTTGGGCAGCTGACGGAACTGGCGTCACGCGCGTGGTCCGCCGCCGCGTTTCCGCCGGGTCCGGGGTCTGCCACGTTGCCATCCACGCACTGTCCGCTTGCTCGCTAGCCTTTGTGCAGCCAGCGTCTGTTCCGACATGCGCTGTCCACGTGGCTGATATAGTACGTTTGTACTGGCGACAGATATGACGCCACACCATGAACCTCTTCAGCCAGTTTCAGTGTCGAATTTGCTTACGCTTAGTACGGAAATCTCCTCTGGCGTCGCTCTGTCCGCCCTATGGCGTCGTGGCGCCGCCTGCGCCGGCGGCGAGGCGTGCGCTTGTTTGCTTGTTATGCGCGTTTGCAGCCGCGCGCGGCGCCTATTCATTTGGATCCCTCCCCGCCCCACGCCGGCTGCTCGCTCGGCGCCGCCGTCTCGCTCTCGGGGCCCAAGTGAACCGCAAGGCGCGCAGGAAAAAAGACAGTCTAAACAAACCAACAACGATAACTGAAACCTGTTGCCTACATATACGTAATTTTTGTTACGTTAAGTACCGAGCAGAATGTTTTTCAAGGTGGGTTTGTCCATTGTACTGAAAGACAAAAATAGTGCGATTTTGAACTGCATTTCACTGAACGATGATGACGTTAGAGATAAAATCGTTAATGAAAATTGCATTTCGTGGTGGAATTATTTAAAATGGAACGGTAGAAAAATGTTGAGCGCACGTTTTGTAATGCATATCATTTCTTCTATAGTTAAATTTAACTGTTATCAGTGAAATTCCTACAATTTCTCACGGAAAAACATTGAAACGATGCCAGGAATGTCGATCGTAAACAAAAATAAATCTCGTTTGAAGAAAAAAACTGGACGTATTTTTTTGTTTTTTATCAATGATTACCAATTTGTTTCGTGTTTAATTGTTATCTAGGGTGTAACAATAATCAGACTAAGAGAGCTTTTAGTGTCATTTCGGCTCACTGTGGGGCCCCAAAGATTTCTAATTTGGCTACGGTAGAGAAGCGATATTCGCCGAACGCTGGCTGCTTTGACGGGACTAGTTCTCGCAACATATTCTTCCAGGTAGAATGGTTTGAATCACTGATTTGTCACTGACCTGTCGATACCTCAAATAACAATCGTCAGATTTAATTTGTGTTCCATACAGGCATACAGGCCACTTCACAGAAAAAAGTAAACAGTAAGCCTCAAAGATTTGCAAACATGCAACTGATCTCAATTATTTTTACAGATTAGTGACGCATGCAATCACTGATACCAGTTTGATTGCTGTCTTAGAAATTCCGAGATAAAACGCTCTTCTACTCGTCTGCGAGAACACTCAATCACAAATATTTCACGTTTTAGTGCTTGTAAATTACTCCACAAGATAGTACTGAGAATTTGGAGACATCGGGCTCGCATGTCATTTTTCATGAGTCTTAAAAACACGGGAACAAAATTTAATTAACCCCTTTCTTCCTAAGACGTAAATAGATCTCGCCCTGTTGGAATACTGTTTGCCTCCTGCAGCAACCGCGCGACCGGATGTGTGGGACCCGCAGCCTCGCGTGGCCGCCGGCTCCGCGCAGCTGCGCGTGGCGAGCGGCGAGTCCCGGAAACAAAAGCCGCCCGCGCTTACCTGTTCCCTCCCCCCGCTCGTGTTGTAGGTGGCGGCGGCGGCGGGTCGGAGGTGCGCATCTGCGCGCGGGAGCCCTCGTGCTGCACGCCTGAGATGGAGCGCCGCCTGACGGTGCGCAGCCGGCGCGAGTTCGACCGCGCGCTCGCCGCGGCGCTGGCGCCGCTCGCCGAGACGCTGCGCGCGCGCGCCACTCGCTTCGACGGTAAGTTGCACTCAGCTGCACTGAACCGAATTGAAATGTGCCGACCTGTAGTGTACTGTGCCATATTGCACTGTAATGCGTTGTGCACCACAATATCTATAATGCGCTCTACTGTTATTTAAGGTTCTATACTGTTCAGTACTCTACTGATCTCTAAGGTAGTATACATTTAAGGTTCTGTCCTTACTTTACTGCTTCGTAATGCGCTGTCCTGTACGATATTGTTCAGTGTAGTAATGAACTGCAGTGTATATTATTATACTGTGGTAATATTTAAAATAGAGAAACTGAAGAAGAAAACAAAACTAAGGTGGAAATAATGTATTAGCGAAAAATTTTGAATAAAATGTCTTTGTTATGTATCTAGAACCTGTACTCAATATATTGAATTACCGAACTTGTTTTTGGCATTACAACTTCATCATTATTATCACAAGGGTCTTAGCAGACAGTTTCTTATTTACTTTACGTCATTTGACGTAGTAAATTATAATACCATGCTGTAATTTTTTATTAATTTTACTCGTCTTATCATATAAAGGCAAAAGGAGGGCGAATATTTCTCGCGAGCTTGATACACAATAGAAGGATAGATTGAAGATAATTTCATGTTTCCATGCGCGTCAACTGCTGTGGTTATTAGTCCCGTAAGGGTGGTGCGTGTATTTATCACGGGAGGTGGTGGCGGTCTGCCACCGGTGGTTGGCGATATCCGGCGCCGACCTACATATATTTTTAGTGTTTTCCTCATCCAGGTTTCTCCCACAAGCGGAACACCGCCCCAATCGGGACAAACTACGTTTCCGATTGGTCATCGCGTGGTTGTTTAATGTATGTGTGTGTAAGAAAAGGGAGAGGGGAGATTAGGGAAGAGAAAGAAAAGATCGCCCGTTTGTTTGTTTGCTCCGGCATTCGCAAGGGGTTGATCGGAGAAACCACGAAACACTGCCTATCAGAGCTGCCAGCCGCTAGAATTCTCCTCCAGATAACGAGTGAATTAAACATAGCTCACTGGTTAGTGTTAAACCCTTTTTGAACGCTAGCCCCTCCCGCTCGGAACTTGAACATTAGGACCTCCCTGCCAGATGCACTTCAGTGACATCAGTTGATATCCTGGGTTACGCAAGAGATATCCTATCATGCAATTTATGACACTGGCTTGGTAATAACTTCATTCTGCCCCTCATTATTTTTATTTTCTGAAATATTAAAAAAAAATCAAATAAAAATAATGGAGAGTTAGGCAAAGGCCAATAAAGAGTTGCGCTATTATTAATCAGTGGGAGAAAAGACCCATTAGGGGTCCTTTAGAACTCGGGAAGGGGGCAGAGGAGAAGACGATGGTGTTGGTGAAGGCCGAGACAAAAGCTATGGCAACGGGGCGATTGGGATGTTAGTGTTGGCGGGCGCAATAACGCTCAAGGCCTTCATAAATAAAGGAAGCTCTTGTGCACATTCGGGGTATGCCGTAGAACCAGGAAGATCGTTCATACATAAGGAACAATTCAATGAAAAAAGGGTGTTTTACAAATGTTAATAATTGCTCATAATTTGTTGTTTGTTTGTTGTTGTTTTTTCACCCTAAAAATGAACTGATTGTTGTGGTTGGTAGGATCCTCCCGTCTTGTAGGTCCTGTCGTCTCCTACGTTCTCTTCTATACCCTCCTTTTCTCTCTCCTTTCTTTCCTCGCGTCTCTCCTCTCCTCTCCTCTCCCGTCTTTACTCCGCACCACGTGTTTCCTCTCCTCTCCTCTCGTGCCTTTGCTCCGTGCCGGTTCTTGCCCTCTGCGTTCTCAGATCATTCGGCGGGGCATTGCCTTCGAAGGGGCCTGGGCGAAAACAACTCTCCATTTGACCCCGGAAAGGCCAGAGGCCGCGTTTCCATCACGGCTGATTTACATCGACTGATTAATTCCCGCCGACGACGACCGGTTGACCCACGACCCCTCGTACATTGATATGTTTCATTTATTTATTTTTTTATTGCACGCGCGCGCGAACATCAAACTTAGGAGTTAACAAATTAAAATATATTTCTATGTTGAGCCGGATATCTTAGTGTATTGTTGTTTGCTGTATTTTGCTGAGCGTGTTAAAGTAAAACGCCTCGTTAGAAGACACTAATGTTTTGTCGTTTGAGTTAAGAATACTTTCGAAGTGCCGCGAGGTGAGTAATAAATTATTCTGTGTGGGAGGCTGAAATAAGAGTCAGAAGTCAGATTCATCAGTTACCAGGTTTCAGTTTATATAGATTTTTTAAAACTATTTATTTATTTATTTATTTATTTATTTTTACTGATACAACAGAGTTTTGAAGTGTTTACGATGTCCATTGCAAAAAGCTTTCGGAAATGCCTTGTTTTTCTGAAAATCTATATCAACTGATTTGTCAATCGCTCAAAACGGGTAAATCGCTTAAATGACACTTTGAATATCAGTATGGTGTATATGGTGTAAGTATAACGATGAATTGATTACTTCAGTCTTCATCCGGCTAATGGTGGTGAAATCCACAAGGACCTGTCTAAAGAATGGTGATTGTCCGAATGTGAGGCGTCTTGTGTGTTTGCAAAACGTATTTTGACATAAAAATGCACAGGAATTTAAGCGTTGCACAGGCTCAAGGTTGTTTTATGCAAATCGCAAAGACCGGAGGCCGGAGCCTTGACCTCTTCTCGAAAATATGTAGCGTAGCGTCAACTGAAGTTAGGCATGCCCAACAGCCTTATCCATGTGGAACACGTAGCTACTACTCGTTGACACTTTAACACAATTTACTTATTCTAGCCTTCTAGTTGGTTATTGTCAACTTGATCGGGCAAAAATCCAAAATTTTCGTAGATTTTGTTCCTATTTCGGAGTTAATCCACGCTACCAAAGTAGTTCAAATTATAATTCCATCGATTATTGTCAGTGTGATGTAGCCCTCTTGACACCAGGAACCACCTGGTTAGCATAAGTCGTATTAGCGAGTGCTATTTCAATCAACGCGGAGAGCGATCGCGTCGTCGTGAACAATCGTAAGCATTGACTCACGCAGCACAGTCGGGGCCCGCTTCGCTCTTCTGTACGCCGGGTGGCCTAACGCGTAGGCGCTCCGTGGTCAGGAGTCCATCCCGGGTGCGCCACCTTCTACCCCAAGTAGAATTCATTTCGCGTGTGCATCTCTCTTGCTGCGCTGCAGATCAGATAGTTAAGGGGAAATTCTGTTAAATAGTCAAAGGATAAACCTGACATCAGATATGAGCTTGAAGTGGAGAGTGAAATATGATTTCAATGCGCTTTCGTACAGGGACGGATTCTGGAAGTATTTGGGAATAACCGTTGGATGTGGTGCGATCTATACATGAAAATTGTTTTGAATAAACTTACAAAAACAAATTTGGGGGGAGGGGTGCTATTCCACATCTCCCCATATTCCGCCTTTGCTTCAGAAGGACTGTATCATCGTGTGTTTAAATTTTATGTAATATACAACTCCTCGAAAGGCTTTACAACCGAACGCGAAAGATTCAAATAAAAGAGAGAATTTTGTCAGAATATAACAATGAATCATTCTTCTTCAAAATATTGAAACATACTGCAGGCATATTTTTAAAATTGAACATCAACAAAACGTGAAAATTGTCATTAGTCAATTTCGTCTAAAATATCTCGTGTTGACTGAAGATTGAATTGATGTACTACACAGATGAATAATTTTTTGTGTCAGTTTTTTTTTCAATTTTGCAAAAATGGGACAGCAATTTCGCGTAAATATTATTTTAATTGTTAAAATAAATAATAAATGTGGAGTGTTCAATTGTGTGTGTCTCCGCAAACTACTTGCAGCTTTTGTAATAGTGCAGCAAACAACAACTGCTATTTTTCGACAGAAAATTTGTTTTGTATGTCCCATGTACATGTAGTAAATAACTTTCTCTAACACCAAGTTTTGAGGGTCCTTGAAACTGAAAAATTTGTGTTTGAAAAAACGTTTGTCCATCTCTGAACAAAGCTTGCGACTGAACCGTAGGCAAGGTTTTCGCCAAAACCGATATTCTACGATTGCTGGTGTCACGGCCCTAGAATTTAAATTTGTTATTTTGACGCTGGAAGCTGAAAACCTCCAGAGCATTTGTAAAATTTCTTAGAAGATATGTCCATTTTTTCCTTTGATTTTTTTCTCAGGTAAAGTACGATTATAAAAATGAAGCAAGTCCGATTTACGTTAACCTCTGTGAATTTACGAAAATTGTAAAGGTTTTAATTTTAACTATATTTTTCTATGATTATAAGAGAATGGACATTTAAATATAAATGATACTGTTTATTGTAGTGTATTGTAGCAACAAATTACGTTATACATTTGAAATTGGGTTTTCAGAAAGACGGGAATGGTCAAGAAATTATTAACCTACTACTGGTGAAATATTTACACAACCTTCACTTTGCAATTTCATGTTTTTATGCCGAAACGCTCATGAACACAAATATGTGCTTTCCTGCGACTTTTAATAACTGCAGGGAATAAAAAATGCAACATTATGCAAATATGCAGCATTTTGCATAAAATATGAACATTCTACAACTAAACCATGCTACTACTTCGCTTTCCTAACTGTCGCAAACACATTACTCCACAGGTCACCAGGTATTCCAACTGAACTCAGTCCATGCATTTTCGCGAGGTTTAAATAAACTGCTGATCTTTTCCCTTCATTTCTTTGTCAGACTTTTTGAAGCGATCGGAGCATAAAATGAATGTGAATTCTAAGAATTTGATGAAACGCGATAGTTTTGTTAAGTTGTTCATTGAGTAGGAAAATCGCACACATCTTCCGTTGTTTCTAATTCCTATGGCTTGAAGGGAACTCAAGGATCATATAATCGATTGCTATGTTGTTGCTTCAATCAATAGACATTTCATGAGAATAATACCGTTCCCAAAACGTGATTAATTTTCACTAAATACGATTTTTGTCATGAATGTGTGTGTCATTGATGTTGCCAAAAAATACCTTTAAATATCGTTGTAGGTAGTTGTTGAAGTGGGAGTCGTCGCTGCGGGCAGGGGACTTCCCGGTAATCTATGCATTATCTATCAATTCGGTGCCCCGCTCCAATTATTTGGTGCTGGGGACGCCTACGGATCGTACTACAACAAACATGTTTGAGTGACTTGAATTTAAAATTTAAAGTTGTGCGTAGTTAGATGAGATATTTCTCAAAATTTTTGTATTTATCGTTTGAAAGTAAAATAAGCAATTGATATTAAACTGTTATTTGCCTTTAATTCTCCCTCATTGGTACGTTTCGTATTGCATCTTACATGATCTACAGTCTTGTTAATTTGACGGAAGTTTTTAATACAAGCCCATACGCGTTCGTGTCTATTATTATCCACTTGGTTTCGAATCACAGATGAAAATACGACCGCGGGAGTGGGGACCAGCTTCGTCGACTGTTTTCCATTCGGATTCGAGAGGCAACTGTCGAAAGTCGGCTGTCGCCAGCAGCCGGCGGCGGAGGGGGAGTCGAGGGAGCACCGAGCTGTCGTTCCTGTGGCGACGCAGAGAAAATAAACGCGGGTACCTGCTGCCGCCGCAGCCCCGCGGGCGCGCTGCGCCGCTCCCCCTCCTCCTTTTCCGCCCCCACCCCACCCCACCGCACCCGTCTCGCGCCGCGCCGCGTTTAGCTTCCAAACAAACAGGCGGGATAAACGGTCTCCTGCGGCGGGGGCGACCGACGCAGCGCTGGAAGACAACAGTCTCGCATTGAGCGCCATGGCGAGCGATTAGCCCTCCTCTATGGGATCATTGTGAAAATAAATATTTCCTCTATGAAAGTGACACCCTAGAGACCCTTTGTAGATTGAGAGGTGAGATAGAGGATTTAGGTAATAAACTAAAGGATTGTGAAACTTTTTTTTTGCCTCCGCCTAACTTATTTTATTTAAACACTTTGCTCGTTAAATTTTTAACGGCTACTTCACTATTGGCACATAATCGTGAGTGATGTGTTCGTGCACTCACGTCTCACGCATTCGTGTTGGACGCTTTGACTCAGATTCGAGTGTTTGCATTAAGTAGGGATGGGCGGGAAGCGGAGCGCAATGGAGTAGCTGAGGAGAGTTCCAACCGGAAGCAGACGCCGAGACGGCCAGGTTATCTCCCCTCTGAGCATCGCGCGACCTCGTATTGGGGAACCATCAAGGGTAGTTCTTTTTTAAGCTCTTGAAAGGACTTACGTATGTGGGGACTTTCTGAATGGTGGACGAACAGCAGTTTGCCAGAACTCCGCCCCTGCGTTAATATTTGTACGTATTCGTGTATCGAATGCATTTTCGTCGGTTTTCGAATAGACTCTTAATTTTCTTTCTTTTTTTAAGGGAGAGAATGGCATTGCAACCGATTTACTAATATTTTAATCGTTTCATTTGCAATTATACCATTATCAAATCAGAACATATAGCCTATGTGGGGCTATATTAAAGGGTGAGCTAAGAGCCACTAGCAACGTATTCGAAATTCAAAACATAACATACAAAAACATTGACATTGTTGTTTCGTATCCACAATAGCTTACAAATATGTGCAAAACAAAGTAAGATCTTATTTACTTGTGCGCTATTTTACTGGAATATTGCACATGTGAGATGAGCATTCATGCGTTGGATCCTTTCAATATTAAAACATTAAAAATAAATTAATTCGTCGAGAGAAGATTTATGATGTGTACATTCGATGGCTGTGGGTACTAAAATTGGGGTCGGACCCCCCTCCCCCCCCCCCGGAAAAAAGAGAAGTCGCATAATTGCGAATGAATTCAATAATGTTAAAAAAGGGAATATTTGAGTGTTGACAACGTCCTATTTGTTTTTCCTTGTTAGCACGATTTGGCGTTTTGGTCTGATTTTTCTTCAAACTGACTTTATTATTATCCGCAGCTACATTTAACAGTTAGAGGTCGTTAGATCCAGAGTATTGTCTAATGTCAGAACGTCTAATTTTTTAAGTCTAAAGACAGGTCCATGAAAACACATAAAAAAATTGTATAATTATTAAAAATGTTTTATTAGTCAGTCTTCACTTTCAATTATTAGTGGAAGCGTATAATTTTAATCTGTATCGGGTGTACGTCGATATCTCTTCGATCTTTATAATTTTGCTGCTTTGCTACCAGTCACCCTATTTGTCTTTGTTTAATTAGGTTTAATTTTATAATTGGGTGTCGTACCCGTACATGCCGTGCTAATGTCGTTTGATGAGGATTTCGTTATTCATGATTCCTTTTGAGATGTTCCAATCATTCCCACATGGAGGCATGATGAAAAGCGATAATTTTTGAAACTTCGGATTTGACCTGATACACTTCACCTCCTGTGCATATGCATTAGGCCTTCGGTGTACACCCACTAGACTTGGGACTTTCTAATGTTTGACCTTTTTTGTGTTGCTGGACAACGTTTCTTTAGACCTGCTACGCAGTATACCTCCTGCTGCATTCTAAGTATTACACCTTGTGCCGGGGACCTAACGACGTGAAATCTATTCAACCTTGTTATTTATGTCTTTCTTTTTATTTATTGAAATTTTAGAAGGAATGTACGCTCTATTCTCATGTACCTCCCACACGTTGTCTGTGCAGAGTATTTCAAAACAATGCTGTCGACATCGAAGCGAGACTTCCACGACATGTTCCGGCGCACCTACGGCATAATCTACGAGCAGAACTCGTTCGTGTTCACCGATCTCTTCGACGAACTGGAGCGCTATTACCTGAAGGGGCGCGTCGACCTGGAAGAAGCGCTGGATAACTTTTTCAGCACCCTGTACCAGAAGATGTTTACCGTTATCAATGCTCAATATCGTTTCGACGACTCGTAAGTATACTGATGTTATTTACTTTTCATTGTGATATGAAGATGTGACTGGTGTACGTAGGACTCAGTTATCCTGGATGGGGAAGGGATGCCTGATTACCTATGCCTTTTGTGTTAATATTTCATCCAGTGTCAATGGTGAGTGAGTGAGTGTGAGGGTCGTTCGTGTTCCCATCACATTATTTTCACACAACCATTTACAGAATCATGATCTCTGAAAAGGTCGATATGTATTTCCCTAAAATTATCATTTCATTACATTTAAGGCAATCAATACTGAACTCAATTAAATTTTTTTAAAAAAAATTTAAACATATTCACACATTTCCAGTTTTTAAAGGACTTATCATCAGATATGCTGCAAAATGAAGACTTTGAAAGTTAAGTCTTATAAATTACTTGCAAATTACAGAACTATTTGCTACACAAGAACACAATAAATTCATCATAATTATTGCTAGTTGTGCATAAAATTGTAACATTTCATTTTGTTAAAAAAATAAAATATTTAAAAGCATTTCAGTTCTGATTGTCTCAAATACAAGCGAACTTGAATACTGGTGAATTAAAATTAATAAAAACAATTGCTATGTGTATTTTATTTATCTCATTTTGTAACACAATAGTTTTGAAGAAGTGTCCAAAAATTTCTGACAACGATCTTGTAGAGGAAGGTCCAAATAACTAGAAATTAAGTCAATACAATAATTTTCAGTATCGTTGCTGTGATTGTAAATTCATCATGTTTATAATGCTTTCAAACAAACCCTCCACTCTGTACATTATTTCTTAGCAGTGTATAAGAGAAGATTAGCAGACTTTAATGAGTTAAATCTTGTTATAATTTAATTATCCATAGGAAGGTAAGCCGTAGATCAATATAATTAAACTCTTTGAGCTCTCTTGGAAGATGGCTTAATAATGTCTAGATATTTCAAAACAGAAGATTATATTTTTTTCATAAATTAACTTGTTTGCAATGTTTGGAAAGAGGATTGTATTTATTATTTTAATGATTACTTAAGAGTATTTTAAATGAAGGAAAAAAAATAACATAACACTAATTTGAATAGATAATGTCATTACAGAATGTAGTTTAATGTTCCAAACATTTAATGCATTCATTTTGTGTAGGTATCTACGTTGCGTGGGTGAACATATGGCAGAGTTGAAACCATTTGGAGATGTACCAGCAAAACTTTCTGTGCAGCTGCGTCGTGCATTTGTAGCAACTCGTACTTTTGCTCAGTCACTTTCAATAGCAAGTGATGCAGTCACCAATATGGCAAAGGTACAGTATAAAAAAACTGTCATAGTGATTAACCAATTCTTATATATTTTAATGATTCAGATTTCTGTAAATAAATAATTTATTACTTTTTGTATTTGTACAGATTCCTCCTAGTCCTGAATGTTTACGAGCACTTACTAAGATGTCAGGTTGTCCAACATGCACTGGATTGGTAGAAGTCAAAGCTTGCAATAATTATTGCATCAACGTTATGAAAGGCTGCCTCACATATCATACCCAACTAAATAATGAATGGAATGCATTTGTAGGTAAGAAACGTTATATATCCACACCGATTGTATGACTGATATTTTATCTTCTTATAAATGTTAATGACACTTTTGTTTAGTGTTATAAATCTTATTTCTCTAGATATCTATTATAATTGATGTTAATGAAATTCTGTGCATTACAAATGCTTAATAATATCAACCACAAATTAGGTATAGCATTATCTCTCCCATACTTATGTTCATTATACTTCCAAGTGATGTTCAAAATAATATCTCTCCAATTTATTATTAATTACTGATTTTATTATTAATTTTATGAACTGCCATAGAACATGAAACATGACTGTAGAAAACATCAAACCTGTGTTCTTAGTCCTTGATACGAGTTTTAAGTTTGTTGTATTAAAAAGTAAAATTAATTAAATACCCAAGTTCTTTATTGATTAAAAAACAACAACATTTGTTACATCTTGCTATATTGCATGATTTTTATTAATATATAAATGCTCTATATGCCAGTAGAAATAAAATTTGATTGATTTGTCATTACAGATGCACTAGATCAATTGGTAGAGAGACTGAAAGGACCTTTTAATATTGAAATTGTTGTGAATCCCATTAACATCAAGATATCGGAAGCCATAATGAACTTTCAAGAAAGTGGCACCGAAGTGTCACACAGAGTAAGTGTTATGATTTGTTGATCCTCAGTTGTAAACCTGCAATCACCAAATCACATAATTTTTTTCTCTTACTTCAGATTATACACACTTCAATACACAAAAGTGTGTATACTAATTAGAAAAATGATGACAAGAAATATAAATAATAATTAATAAATAAAACAAAAACATGCTATTCAATTGTATTAATTAATTTTGGTAATTCATTATCATTTTGACATCATTTGATTCAAACTCTTATAGTATATGAATTTGATTAATTTATTGCTCATTTACAATTGTTTTATTTGTATGTAGGTATTTCAAGGTTGTGGAAAGCCTAAGTTGGGTCGTCGCAGAAGACGAGATACCACGGAACTGGACTTTGGCCGTCATTCACATAGACCTGGTAATCACAGAGACCGAGAAGAAACGGAAGATGAGGTCACCCTAGAAACTCTGGTCAAAGACATTAGAGTAAAGGTAAGGGAATAAAGAATGTATTTTTCTTTCAATAACAATGGACAGAGACAGCTTGTGCTTCCTTTGCTACTATCTATTTGTTCAAATCTAATTCATGTTGTTTGGAGTAATCTGTTAATGACAGTTTACCTAGTTACTTTTGCTGTATGTTTTGCTACAGTAAGAAGGCTATAACTATTACCTATGCAACTGGAACCCCTGAGTCCCCTTAGTTGAAAAGTAAAAAGTGTCCAAATATTTTAAATTGTATATTTTATTTTATAACATTGAACTATTACACTTCTCTAGTAAAATTTATATTTTCACTCCTTGATAGAATGAAACAAAAATAAACTATAACTTAGCACAATAAATGATTTTTGAAAAAATATTCAGTCAATGAAATTGTATATAGCTTCTTAAATTCATCATTTTAATTTTATTTCATACAATAGGCATTAACATGCATGTGATATTCACCAGTTCTGTACTTCCCTTCTTCATTAATTAATCTGAGATGTGATTATTTCTTTACATTTGAATTTTTAATTTCATCTACCCTACAAATTAGTTTATCTTAGAATTTTTATTTTTTATTTTTACTTGTTTGAAGAAACCTGTTTTATGTACCTATAACAACACAATTTTGTGCTACTATTGATTAGATACATCATTGTTATATTATTATTATTATTATTATTATTATTATTATTATTATTATTATTATTATTATTAAAGTTGGTATTTTTCCCTGAAGGTCAACGACACTCGCCAGTTCTGGGCAAATCTTCCTTACCAAGTGTGCAATGATGATAAAGTAGCTGCCAGTCCAGCTTTGGATGACAGCTGTTGGAATGGAGAAAAGAAAGCAAGGTAAATCTTGATCAAATATGTTTATGAAACTTGTAGTCTAATAGAAACAAACTTAAGCCACGAAGAAATGGTTAATTTACTTGTCAACTTAAGTTATGTTCATATCCCTACCACTTATCATAGCATAAAACTACCTGTTCATTGCAACTATCACAATACTAGAATCTATACTTATTAACTCAATAACTTAAACCTTCTTTGGTATGTGTATATGACTGAACAAAATTTAAAATGTTTACTAATAAATTTACCTCATTATATTTATAGATATGAAGTTCAAGTCAGTAAGGAGCAGAGAGCAAATCCAGAAGTATCTGTGGATCCCAGTCGGGAAAGTGTGCATCTAAATGAGCAGCTGTATGTACTTCGCACTTTGATAAGTAAATTGAAAAGTGCTTATGTGGGGCGAGATGTTGAGTGGATTGACAATGGTAGGTAATGAAATTCTTGAGTAATATTAAAATTTGATAAGGATGATGAATGCTCATGATTTTACGGTTGTTTTAAAACAAGGCATGCTTATATGATTCTTCCCAATCTAATGACATTTAGCTAATAATGAGATTTGATTGGGGAAAAAAAAAGAGTTTATAATAAATTTAAAACTTCAAAATTATTATGGCTTCACAAATGTTAATGTAACTTTCTTGATATTAGTCTCTTAAATAAAGACATTTTTAAATTTATTCCTGGTGCATTTCCTTCAATAGCTTCTGCTTTCATGACGAATACTATAGAAAGGTGATCAGTGAACTCAGACATTTCTAGACTCTTTAAATTGACACCTCTATTAAATAGGATGTGCCAATCAGGTTATTGTTTCCCATTATTTCATTTTTAAATTTCCTGGTGATACAGAATTAAATAAATTGATTTTCAAGTTAAATGCATGAACTCCCCCAAAAAGAAGTAAAAAGTGTGCTATTTAACATTTTAATATTTTGCTGATAATGGATAGAGAGAAAATTTTTTCTACTTCATTGACAAATATGTTCTTGAGTAGTTAAGACTTTACAATCATGTCATTTTAAACTCTTCGATTTGGATTTGTGAGTAATCATTATATTAAATAGGTTTTATTGTTTTTAAATTTATCTTTATTCTTATAAAATTTACCTTTTTTGAGCATCTGCTGTCTAGTCCAGAATTGAACTCAATGTGACAGAAGGGATTTCACCTGACCAAGGTCCTAACTGCTAATATACTTAGTCATTCAATGAGTTTGAGTATAAACTGAAAATAAATTGGCTAAAGCGCCAAAAATGTGATCTCTGAAATATAGGAATGCCCATTTTGGATCATCTTGTCTGACATGAAGATAGATACTGAAGAGTTGGAAGGAAAGCATGTTCTATTTAATTGATAATTTTGAGGTGTAAAGAGCATCTTTTTCCTTTTAATTTATTGATTCTTTCCTAATCATGAAAGCCAAAATCTCTTCTATTGTAAGTGAAAACCGAATGTGTAAATCCTCAAGTGTATTTGCAAATCAGTTCATGTGCGGGTTTTGACTTGAAACAATAACTGAAAACTTCCTCAGGATACAGAAACTTGGAATCTTAAAAATGATTTGTCCTGTTAGGAAGTATTCACAAATGCCCAATATTATGTGCATGTTTTAATTGTGGAATAGAATATAAGTAAAAATTAATGCTTAATTGATCTAGCTTCATTGCCATTATTTTTAATGGAAAACAAGGTTGTTCCTCAATTTTCTCATGAGTGACATTATTTTAATATTTTAAGGCCAATGGCATTCAAACAGGAATGTTTATTTATTAATAATTAAGAACAAATGCTGAAAATTCTTTTGCATATATAGTACAATTTATGTATTATGTGCGTTTGAAGTAAATCAGATGGTAATGGTTTCATCCAGTCTGTAGTTTATATATCGCTACAGTGACGTCATTTTGGTGACATTCATGCTTCCGATTGGATGAAACTATCAGCAGCTGATTTACTTCAAATGCACTTATAAATAAATCCAAGTACAATCACAGTGAACATTTCATATTTTTTTACAGAGGACTCAACTTATGGCTCTGGCAGTGGCTCAGGTGATGGAGGGTCAGATCGAAATGACCCTGATAATGATAGTGAACCAGAAGGATCCGGCGATGATGACTATCATGACCGACGATATGGTGGTTATGATCCATCTTCTGGTCGTCCTGACCCTAATAGACCTCTCGATCCACGAAATAATCACCCGGATCATCCTTCAGGTCCTGGGTCATCAGGTGCGACTCACCCTCGCCTTTCTCCAGCAAGGGCAGTATCTTCCTACTTGTTGCCCATTGTGGTTGTGTGGTTTGGAGGTCTCTTCTCAGACTGGCTGTGATTTTCTCCAAGAATTGTGTGTTGAAGACAAACTGATTTTGAATGGGCTGGATTTTCCTTGGTCTTTTCCAGCAGTTGAGAAATGATATTAGCTCGCCGGATTGTGATCGTCTCTGAAGCAGTAGCTGTAAATCATGCTGCACTGAACATTGGCTCGAGTGACAGTGTTGTGTGATTTGTATTAGTTATTCAGGGACCTATAGGAATGGAGTGCTACCTCAAAGAACTGAGATTCTTGGCACTGACGTAATTTCTTTCAAATAAAGACATGCAAAACAAATCTCTATTCTAGAGATCAGCGGCATTGTGTAAGAGGTGCTTCAGTGTAGGATTTGATGCTACAAATATTCCAAACAGTACCTCTGTGATGTCCTGTGTGATATATTAGTCTGTGTATGTACGTGTGCATGTACACGTGTGCATGTATATGATTGAATGTAACTAACACCAGTACCTTACATAGTTCCAAAGCCTTGAGAAAGGTATGTAGTTGAAAATGGAAAGGCATAACAGTACTGAAGACAGGGTAGATGTGTACGTAATTTTAGCCAGAAATGTATATCAAAATCATTTCTATCCAGAAGTTATGTGGAGAAACAGCCCATCATGTTATGTCAAGAGATACGTAATAACGTTAAGCAGATAGAAGTGCAACAGTTTTGTTCAATGTTGCTGTTTGCAAGAGCCTATGCAGAAGAGATTTTTCTACTCTGCCCAGAACCTGTAGCTAGGTTGATGTTTGATGGGATAAAAACACCCTTGTCAAAAAAACAAAAAACAACAACAATCTTTATAGTCAAAATGCCATTGCCTTGTGGCTGAAGCTGTGCTGTTAATGTTGTGAGCCATGTTGGAAGTTCTTGGATGCAGGATTATTCCATTCATGTCTTTTTACTACAATTTTGTACATTTGTTTAAGTATTATAGTGACATGCAAAGTCACATTGTTTGCTTTGTACACTGTACATAGTTTGGTTCTTTAGCCTTAATTTTATTTGTAGTTCAGATTCTGTGAACTTAAAATGCACTTGTGTATCTCTCTTCTTTTTTTTTTTTTTCTTTAAGGTTTTAAAAATATTATGTAAATACTGTCTTATTATTATCCTGCTTTCATGAAAGCATCCATTTTGGACATATTTGTGCAGCAATAGTGAAATTTTGCTGGTCACTAAAGCAAGAATATATATTTTGTAGATTTTGAAGCCCTAAGTGAATAGTCCTTAACACTGAGGCAAAACTGCCATAATAAAAATATGAGAAATAACTACCAGTTTAAATTATTACATGTAGCTGCTCAACAGTGCAGCATCTCAAAATGCATTAAAGCATTTCTAAGAAAGAAAAGAAAATAAGCCAGAAAAGATTTATAATTATACATTCAGTGCTATTTTGAAACAAGTTATGAATTCATAATAAAAAGAAGTATATGAAAAGATAGTTCCCTTTTTTAAGAGACTTTTGCAGGCACTGCTTGGAACAAGGTAACATTTCAAAATAATGGGTGGGAAATATGTTGAGAGGGAGGGGAAAATTTTGTACTTGTAGGCATGTGAAATATAGTATTAATGTACAAACCAGATTGAATCTAAAGCTGCAGGGAAATGTTATGCTAACTAATATTAGTAAACAATCAAATAAGGAATCATTAAGATGCTAATTTATTCTGCAGCTGCTTAGTTGTCATAATTATTTTTGATGCTGGTTTCTTTTCTATGTTAGCATACAACCCCATAAATATAACATTTGTGCAGGAATTTCCTGTATACCTGATTTTTCATTGTACAATACTCAAATCCTTTTGTGTTTTCTATGTCATGTAACTGTGTAAATTATTGAAGTTGCAGAAGTTGAAGCAGTTAAAACAAGTGAATATGCTGCATGCATTAATTTTTTTTAAACTTTATTGTCATTCATTGTATATTGAAAAAAAAGAAACATGCATACACAAAATATAACAAATATACAAATATTATTTATTGCTTTTCTTTTTCACACCTTGGTGCTTGGACCCATAAATTGTTAAAATGCTTGTCACAATCGGACCCTATTAATTGACTTGAAAAAAGTCATTATAATACAAAATGCAGAGTTGAATGATCAAGATATTTAACGTTCCTGGTAAGTCAGTATTCTAAATTATTTTTAGGTCTAGTTTTGAAGTATACATAAACTGCTATTAATAAAAAAACTGCAGCAAGTGTTGGCAGGACAACTGTAAAAACCCGTTTCTTGTTTTCAAGAAATTCTTTCTTTCTTTCCCGCTTTTGCTTGTTGTTTTCTTTAACTTTGCCTTTCAGCTGACGCATTTTCTCAAATGCTATCGAATCTGAAACAGTACTTTAGTTTAGATGTGCCACGTCAACAGACCTTTAGTAGCACGTAAGCACAGATGTTCGTGCTAATAAGAATTCACTTACGATTCTGACGACTGAGAAATTTATCTGTAAAGAACGTCCAGTTTCACAGTTAAAGAAGTCGGGTTCTAAATCTACACAGTAGATCCACATCAACAAGCTGCCATTGAAGGTTCGCGTTCGCTTGACAATCGCTCTCGAACCTGGCTTTGCTAGCTTGCACACGCACTTGTAATATTCTTTGGGCACGCGAATGTGAATGACAATCGTGACGGTACTGCCAACAGTGTCAACGAAAATGTTACTACATTGGTGAAAACAATTTCGGTGCGGTGGCAGGTGGTGTGCCAGCTGATACTCAACTGATAGGCAACTAGGATCCTGAGAAGATAGTTAATTTTGGTGAGATAAGGCCGCTTGACCCCAGAATAGAAGGTTTACATTAATTATTTCCACATTGCGTGAGGATATGGCTATATATCGAGTGAACTATTCATTTTGGCCGTGAAATGACTTGGGTTAGAGGAAACGTGATCCAATCTGAGAACAATGACAACTGTAGAGAATCTGTATCAATTTCATTACAATCTAAGCCGCATGAAATAGTGAAGCCTTCTGTACATAAACAACATCGAAGACATGAACCCAAGGAGTTTATATGTGGTTGGGGAGCTGCATTCATTAATATTACAGTGACTTATCCGATATATAAACTCATATTTAGACAGGTAAGTTTTGTTTAATTTTTAGAATTGTTTCTTGTGAAGAAAATATGTGCTTTCTAGAGACTTGTTCATTGTCCCACACATAAACTGTATTGATAAGATTCATTTTCTTTATAATATTAAAAATTAAATATTTTGCAAGAGAATTATTTAAACAATATATTTTTCTTTTATTATATCAGATTCTTCATGGAGTCAACACTACCAGCGCATTTCAACAGCTGAAAAATGAAGGCATTTTATTTTTATATAGAGGAATGCTTCCTCCACTGTGCCAAAAGACTGGATCCCTTGCTCTAATGTTTGGAGTATACGATGAATGCCGAAGGCCTCTTTTGGAAGCTAATGTTGCTCCAGTAGTGGCAAAAACTGTAGCTGCAGTGGTAGCTGGTTCTGTTGAAGCCATTTTAATGCCATTTGAGCGAATTCAAACATTACTTCAAGATTCCAATTACCATGCCCGTTTCCAAAACAGTGGCCATGCCTTTAGGGTTATTGGGTATGAATATGGTTTCCGAGAATATTATAGAGGGCTTACACCAATATTGTTAAGAAATGGCCCCTCAAATGTTACTTTTTTTCTTCTGAGAGATGAAGTAAAGCATCAGTTTTCTCACAGAGTGACATGGTATGGGGAATTTTTGCAAGAATTTATCGCTGGGGCTTGTATAGGTGCGTTTATTAGTACCGTGTTTTATCCTTTTAATGTATTGAAAGTCCATGTTCAGAGTCGTCTTGGAGGGCCATTTGAAAATTGTTGGACTCTTTTTATTAAACTATATAAACAGAAGGGCTTGCGGGCGATGTATCGTGGTGTTCATTTAAATTATACGAGAGCTTTCGTGAGTTGGGGTGTCATTAATGCCTCGTACGAATTTTTGAAGAAGTTACTGTATTAATCACATTAGTATTCTCCGGTTCAAGTATTTTGCTGTCAGTATTTAGGGACAGTTAAGTGTTCACTTTTTGTGTCTGAGCCAATGGGTGGTAATCATAATCGGGGAGATATCGAGAGTTCGCGGCGATGCAGCGCCACTGGCAGCACTTACGCATCTAACCAATGGGATCAACCTACGTGTTTCAAAATGGAGACAATGAGCGGCTTTAGAGTGGCGCACTGTATATACTTAATAATTATTGCCAGTATTCTAGGCATTTTCAGTTTAACGGAGGGTGAGTAGAAGAAAAGGAATTTCTTTTCATTGTGAATAATATTAATCGCGTCGTGTGACCATTGTATTTAGAGAGGTTATTGAATTAACTACGAGGACTTCTATCGACCACCAAGGAATGTGGGAACATTTTTTTGAAATTTCTCAACCTTTGGATTAATTGCAGGCCGTGGAAATCAGTACGTAACGTGTGGATCCGTCTTAAAGTTAATGAATGTCGATTTTAATGTTCGACTTCACTCGCACGATGTGAAGTACGGAACCGGTAGTGGTCAGCAGTCGGTGACTGGCACCCAGTTGCAGGACGATGTTAATTCTCACTGGGTTATTCGAGGAGAGACTGGGAAACATTGCTCTAGAGGGTGAGTGACATTTCCAATAAAAAGTTTCGTCTGTATGTTTATATGAATAATTGACATAAGGTTGTTTACTTCACAGTACGCCAGTGAAATGTGGAGATAAAATTCGACTGACTCATTTGCAAACTAATAAAAATTTGCATTCACACTATTTTTCTTCTCCTCTTTCTGGGAATCAAGAAATCTCTGCTTATGGAGATGATAAAGGTGGGTATTAGTGAATCTATTATTTTAAGTGCAAAGAGATTTGTGAGAAGGTTGTGTATCTGGATGAGCCTGACTGTAGATAAGCAAAGTGGTGGTAGTTATAGTCCAGTCTTTAGCCAGAATGAAATGACTGAATTTTCTTAAGTGTACTTTTTTTTAAGTACTACATCAAATAAATTGTTTAGTGTTTGTATTTGCTGATGTAAAGTTCTTTAATTGAAAATGTAACTTTGAAAATACAAATTAAAGAGTGCATAAACCAAGTAGTTGATTATCTGTAGCGATGGAATGCAATGAAATGCAAGGTTTTGGTTTCATTGCCCAAAATTCTTTGTCTTGTCTGTGGATAACAAGTTACTGGCAATGCTGCTTGATATACTGGTGGATCTGTTCCAAAGTCTCCACTGCTCAACCAAATTAATGATTGTTATATTAAGTTAGTTGGGATACCTTGAACAAATTAGACTTTTTTGAAATGTTTTTACAAAGTCTAAAGTATATTATTACCTGCAAATTATTATGTCAAAATATTGCATGTGAGTGCAGTTATACCAATTACAAAAAAAAACCAAAAACAACTACAACTCTTCATTCAGTGTATTGTAAAACTTAAAACTAGAGAGTGGATTTTAATGAAATGTCTTTTTTTTTTTAAACTATGCCATTTAGTGTAGAAATTCATTTTATGTTATGACAAAATGAAATTATCCATTTTTATGTCGTTTCTTTTTCCTCCTCCGTTTTTTGTTGATTTCCTCTAATAAGTAATTTTTTACATTCTTATGTCTTTATTTTTACTGAATATTTTTTGCAGATTTCATAGAGTTTAATATCATTTTAATGGTACTTGCTTCAATATCTACCAGGTGCAATAAATGTACACCGCAGATTTCCTGAGAAGCCTATTCAGTTTTCAATAAGGGCAAAATACAATCTTCAAATTTTAGGAAACAAAAAGCCACAATTTGGTCTTTTTTTATGCATGATAAGATTATGATTTCATGGTATTTTGTATTAGCTCTTGTGCATGGTCAGGGAGGGGTCTGCCTCCTTAATCTCTTAACTTACAACCTCTTTCTCATAAAATATGCCATAAAGTATTCTTTACTAACTGTTAATTGTTTTCATACTAATGTGTACTCTCAAACTATTTCCACAATTACATTTCTCGGGATCTTCCTTGCCCTCCATAGAAAAGAATGGGAAAACCTTTCACCTCTTGGGGTAAAAACCTGATTAAAATCAATTGACTAGAGAACAACTCAAGGGATTACAATTAACATTCACAGGTCATTTGTTTCAGAAAAAAAATAGAAAAAATAAAAAAAATATGTATTTTTAAGAACCTAGTTCCTGAAAATTCACAAAAATGTGAGAGACATTAAAAAATGTGACTTTCGAATGAAATGTCTTTTATTCCAAATTTTCCTGATACTTTTTTGAATAGCACATTGTACTCTTCTAAGAGAATCATTGTTTGTGGTAGGGTCTGGGATGGGCAGAGTGTGATGCAGTGGTGATCCATTGTAGAGTTTGTGATGTATTATCCTGTTTACTTTTAATTATGTGAGGATTTGTAGTAACTTAGCAGTGTAGGATAATAATTGGTTTGTCTAATCTAACAGGTATTCAGGAATAATTGTTGTAGTGTGTCTTCCAGTGAGTGTATAATTGACCATATTTTGAGGCGGCCATTTGCAACTAGGCAGTTACATGAGAAGAAGCAGATAAAAGAAAACAGTTGGCCAAGGTCTTTGCACAATTACAGCAGACTTGTGGCAACGAATGTGTAATGGATAACATATCAGACTGTAATACCAAAGTTCGCGGCTGTTTGAAGCTGTGGGTTTTTGAGGGCGAAAAAACCCTTTTGACAATTTTGGGAAAAATACTTTTTGGGTGAACCTCATAAAATCGAAAGAACTGTGAGGGATATCTTTCTTTTATCCCCCATATACGTATGCTGAGGCTGGTATGATTTAAATCTTGATTTCATTATACAATTAAATCACGATTTAAATGAAATCATATTAAAAAAATTTAATCAATATTTATAATTTGTAGTATTTAAAAAATATATTTGTATTTTAAATATTTGTAAATCAAAATTATTCAGACAAAAAGATTTCA